TTTCTTTCTTTCTTTCTTTCTTTCTTTCTTTCTTTCTTTCTTTCTTTCTTTCTTTCTTTCTTTCTTTTTTTTTTTTCTTTTAAGCCTCTTTTCACATTTGTATGCCCTTTGTTTTTTCTTTCTGTCTCACCCTTGTCTGGGGTCAAGGAAGAAGAGCTGGAGCATGGTGTCCCAGGCAGCCGAGAATGGAAGCCAGACCTCCTCCGGGGTGACAGATTATGACAGCAACTGGTACATAGAGGGGCCTGAGGAGGCGCAGCCAGAAGGGTAAGTGTGGCATTTGGCTCAGTCAGCCATCAGAGCGGGTTATGGTAGAGAGGTTGCCAGGGTAGAGGCAGAGACACTCTGGGCAAGTGTCTGAGACTGGCACTCCTGTTTATCTGCTGTGTGAGGTGAGGCAGGGCACAACCTCTCTGGGCTTCAGACTTTCTGAGGACAACAGTTCTTCAGCCATTATTAAGAAGGGCTTGAGGCCATCTGGCCCATAGCCAGCCAGGATGGGGAGCAGTGAGGGGGTCACAGACCTCTTTGGTGACTGGTATAGGGTTTATACGCAGGGCTTTGTAAGAGGTGAGAGTCAGAAAAACCTGAGGAGTCGCTGAGAGAGACTGTGGCCCACCGTTATCTCTGGACCACTCTGAGTGCAGTTTAGGGAGGTGTGGAGGAATAGGGGGTCTTGTTCTTGAAGCAAGTGCACAAGCCAGCCCAGAGAGGGTGTGCAGGCAGTTCAGCTCACCCTAACTCCATGACTGTCCTGAGAATTCTTGGCCTAGACCCTTCCTATGTGTGTTTAGTCTGGGCACCTTGGCAGAGGAGCTGGGGTTTTCTGTGGCGTAGTACTCCTCTGCTCTAAGGCCAGCTGCCTCTTGTGACCTGGAGCTCAGCTCTCCATTATTGTTCCCGGCTTCTGCTCCATTGGAGGGTTTGAGGAGCAGGAAGGTGAGGGAAAGGGGTGGGGGTAGGGTAAGATGGGGTGGAAGGGTGGTACTAAGCCAGATGTGTGCACATCTGTTCACCATTAAAATTTGAAACTGGAGAAGGAAAAATGCTCAGATACTTCCCCAGAGGACAGGACTGCAGCCTGGCTTGGTTGGGGTCACCCAGCAGGGATTGAGGCCCCACCCTGGCCTGAGGGAAAAAACTGTTGTTTGGAGGACTTAGGCTTCTGGCCACCTGCAGAAGCCTGTGGTCAGCAAGGCTGTGGCTCTCCCTCCCCCAGGCTCCCCAGTTAAGCTATGCAGACAGGGACTAGAGGAGGGGCCTAGGCTCTCCAAGGAAACCATGTTCCTAACTTGGGGTAAGGACCCAATCAGAAGTTGTGTCCTTGTGAGGGTCAGGGACCAAGCTGGCCACAGGCTGGAGGCCAGGTGCCTGGAACCAGCTGTGTTGCTGGGGAATCTGTGTGTAATCTCAGAATAAGGTGCGTGTATGGTGGAGACTGCGTCTGGGGAGAGGTCAGCCTGTAGTGCGAAGAGGATTATCGGAATCTACTTATTTAGGAAAAAAAAAAACAGTCTAGCCACCCACCCCACTTCTTTCCCTCCTCCCCCAAAGATGAGAAGGGGAAGCTGAGTACAGGGGATTCTCTAGATGAACTTGGCTTCACCTCTCCATGTGAGTCAGACACTCCAGGGGTGTGCTACATCAAAGCTTTGCAGTGTTCCAGGATGCAGACTTTCTGTACCTTAGTGTGCCCCTGCATGCTAAGATGGAGCTCGGGTGGGGCCAGGGTCAGACTGCACTCAGCCACAGACTTCCAAGCTTGAGACCCCTGCCTTACCTTGCGCAGATGGGCTCTACAGCGTCTCAGTGTCTACCCATGCCAGCTTTAATTTTGCCATGGTTTTCCTCCGGAAAGACTTGTCTGGTGCCAGATGTACTGCTTCTTCCTACCTGGACTCTTCCCACACTCCAGGACTGACTCTTCCCTTCTTTTCCTGTGGAGAGGCTGACCTTCTGTCCAACTGAAGCCCCAAAGCGCCCGAAAGCTCACCTTTTCATTGCTCTAATCCAATACCCAACAAGAAGCAACTTTAGGGAGAGAGGGATTGCTTGGCTCATGATTGGAGAGTACACAGTCCATCCATGGCAGGAAAGGCAAGGCAGTAGGTGCTGCTCACATCTGGGCAATAGGGAAACAGAGCCAGATGAATGCTAATGCTCTGCCCAGGGGGTGATACTGTCCACATTCAGGAAGGGCCTGTTCCCTTCTGTTCATTTCCTCTGGAACAACCTCAGACATACCAAGAGAGTGCCTCACTGATCCCTAGGCATTTCTTACTGCAGTCAAGCTGACAATGAAGACTTGCCCTCCTCTCAACTATTTCTCAGAAGCCTGGTAGAACTTTCTCTCCTCTCTACACTCTTTAGCGCCCGTATCTCTCCTGAGAGGGAGTTCTTTGCCCTACCCATGGTAAGGGCTATGTTATCCTTCCTGGCCAATGACACAAAGCCTGAGTCCTCACCCATCACCAGTGAACACACTAAACTAAGGTGTCAGCCAGGAGCCTGTGTTCAGTGAGGACCAGAGTTTCCTCAGAAAGGGCCGTAAATAAGGTTTCCAGGGTTGAAGTGGCTTCTAGTTTGATGTTGGCTTATGAGAAAATGGCCCAAGCTACTCCAGGGACAGTGTGCTGTGTCTCCATCCTGGCAAGGATGGAAGCCCTGGGCTGAGCAGGAATCAGACACTGAGAAGGGTTCAGGGACTTGAGTGGGGCTCCCGAGGCCCTGGGGCTGGTCAGAGCCCCACCCATCCCACACACTGCGCTTAGCTGTGGGAGGCAGCAAGACCCAAGCTCACAGGATCTCCATCCCCTACACTCCTGCATGGCAGGCACGTTGGCTATGGGAGCAGCTTTTCTAGGGCTAGAGATGGTACAGGAAAGACCCACTTGACCCCTCCACCTCACTGTTGAGCTCAGGAAGTCCTGAGAGAAAGACAGACAGAGCGGGGAGGCTGACCCAGCAGATCCCAGGGCTCTGCACACACCTTTGGTGCTCTCTGCTATACAGCAGGCAGGTGCTTAGGAGGAGGGTGACTTAGCTTCCTGGCAAGGAAAACCAAGCCATGGCATAGACCTCTTTCAGTTTCAGCCTTTCCCTACTCCCCACCCCCAACTCCTCTCTCTCCTCCCACAGCTCTCCCTCCCACATACCACACTCCCATTTTCCCAGGCCTCACTCACATAAAACCTCCCTCTAGCTCTCAGATCCAAGCTGAGCAGGCTAGAAAACCATCAGCCCTGGCACCCAGCCTATTTGCTAACCCATCTTTAGTCTCAGGCTTTCTCTGCCACATGACCCAATGGTGGAAGCCTCGTCTTTTGTGACCCTCATTGAACCCTTTATTTCCACTGGCTTCCTTCTGAACTACCTTCAGAGTAGGACCTCTGCCAGCCCCCAGGGAGCCTCTGTGGTGATTAGGAAAAGGGATACTTCATTTAGTGTGTTCAGCTCAGCAGGCACAGGACATGGAGAACTCTATGGCCTGGATTTCTGACCACATTTATTTTCTTGGCCAAGCGTCCCTGTGCAGTGTGCAGCTTGTTTCTCTCTACATTAACACTCTCAATGAGGTGGAATGGGAAGAGAGAAAGGACCCTTCCAGTCCCGGATGAATCAGGCACCGGAAGCAAATCAGACAGGACTAAACGCTAGATTGCTTGATTCAGGTGGTGTGTTCATCCTCTGCTTCACAAAGGGGTCTGTGGGGCTAAAAGCAGATGGGAGTTCCCCAAAGGTGGATGGGTGATGAGGACCTTGGAGGATAGGAATTGTGAGCAAGAATAGATATTCAGATCAAGTTGCACACTCCCAAGAGTTTCCTGCCTCTCGCCCCAGGGCCAGCACAGTGTGGGAGTATGGGGGTCAGACTGACCCTGAAAAGCAGAACTGAGCAGGCTGGGTAGGGGCTGAGGGGATGCTGGTGAAGCTTCCTCATGAGGAAACGCCTTGAACCCTAGATCCAGCTAAACCTGTGGATCGTTTGCCCCACAGGGTGGATCCCCCTTGCCGGCCTAGCGTACCGCCTGTCCTGTACCATGCCTGCCTGGCCTCACTGTCGGTAAGTCCAACCTGCCTTTCCACCTGCTGCCAGTCCAGGCAGAGGGATTCATGCTCCTTTGGGATGGTGCTGGAGACCTAGTCCCCCCCCCCCCGGGGATGGTTATCTGGGAATTCTCCCCACAGGGATCCCAAACCAGAAGGCTAACCAAGTCCAATCTCCCAGACTCCTATCTTTTAGCCAGTCCCCAAGATGTCACCTGCATTGGGTGGGTGAGGAGCGTTTTGAGACTTACAAGGACAAGTCTTGGGATTCAGATCTACAGGAAGCCTGACACCCCAGCCCTGCTCTTCTCTCTTCCTCCAGCTCCTGGCTCTGCTGCTGTTGGCCTTACTGGTGAGACGCCGCAGGCTTTGGTCACACTGCGGTCACCGCAGGCCTGGACTGCCCAGGTTTGTGCTAGGCTCTGGAAAGCCCCACTTGAGGCCCAGCTGACAAAGCTCCTCAAGGGAAGTAGGTGACTTCTTAGATGCTTTAGAGCCAGCTCTGATTTCAGAAACAGCTCTTTTCCCCAACCCACACCCCACCTGGAACCCTCCCAGTCCAACTTTCTTGGCTTAGGCTTGCAGGTATAGCAGAAGGAGGTAGAGGGGCTGCTCCATCCACCCGCTGGAGTGTTCAGGACATGGGGAAAGGGATTCTAAGGAAATGTAGGTCCTGACTTAGGGTGGCCATCACCCCCGGGATAGTGGAGCAGAGCTAGGAGCTTGCTCAGTCATTTCCCTTGGGACCATCCCGGGATCATGATTTGTGAGCGATCGCCCGGCAGAGCCTCCATGGCTGTGGCTTTCTTTTCCTTTGGCTTTGTAACTCCAGAGAGTGAGCCAGGTGCCATCCTGAGGATGCAGGACTGGGCTCGATGGAGAGGGAGACAGCAAGCGTTGGAGAAGGTGGCAAGCGCAAGCCCTGTGGGAACTGGGGACTGCTGTGGAAGCAGCCTGAGATAAAGTCTGGTGCAGGGAGAAGTCTGCTCTGCTGGGGGAGCAGAATGAAGCAGGGTGGGGCTGTCAGAGCACCAGGACAAGCTAGAGTAGAGAAGCAGAGAACGCAAGCCTGGGACTGCCGTGCCCGCTGTCTGCCCTCTGCCCTGGTCCACACCCAGCTCAGGGAGGCGGTCGTTGCACAAGGATGTTATGACTTTCTGTGTTCTCTGAAGATCTGCCAGCGCAGACTGACAGATCTATTCCCGAGGAGGCGGCTGTTTCCTGGAGCTCCCCTGGTGGGTGGCCCCCTAGAGCTTGTTCTCACCACCTTTCACCCTAGCGCCTAGCTCAGGATGGGGGCTCGGCCCTCCCCAAGCATGCTGGCAGCAAGTGAACGGATGGTGAAGAGGCCTCCACTCTACCCTCTGGGCGGTTTGGGGAGCAGAGTGTGGAGGGGGTGAAGGCTCAGGGACTGACTGCCTTTCTGGTATCCTGTCCTTGTCTACGGCAGCCCCGTGGATTTCTTAGCTAGGGACCGATCCTGGACAGTGTCCACTGCTGTCTTTGTGGTCCTCTTCAGCAATCTGTGCCTGTTGCTCCCTGATGAGGACCCTCTGCCTTTCCTGAGCCTCAGCGAAGCATCCATTCCAGGTATCCAGCATGAGGTCCTGGGGTTGGCCTGATGGGACAGGGCAGGGTGGGGTCCTGGTTTATTAAGGTTGGCTGGGGGAGGTGATGGCAACAGGAACAGCTGTCAGTAGGGGGTACCGATGGCCGAAGAATGACCTCTTTAGATCAACAGACTCCACAAAGGGTGGAATATATTAATAGATCTAGTTTACAGTAGAGAGAACTAAGGGTCAAAGAAGAAAGCAGTGATAAAACAGTACTTCGTTTATGGAGTACTTACTCCGGCACCACAGTAAGCACTTCTTGGTTTGCCTTTGCTAAAACACTGTGTGGTTCCTTCCTTTTCACAGATGGAGAGACGGAGAGGTCAAAAGGTAACATGGCTAGGCTCAGAGAGCTTTTGCTCAGACCCATGCAAAGTGAGCTCTTCCACACTGGAACAGCTGAGGGGCTTGGAGACAGGAGAGGGTCTGGTGGGTATGGGCTGGGTCCTGAGTCTCTCTCTCTCTTTCTCTCTAGCGTCTCTCATTTGTTTCACTTTCTAGGGCCCTGGAAGCTCCTAGCCCTGCTCTACTATCCAGCCCTCTACTACCCTCTGGCTGCTTGTGCCACGGCAGGGCACCAGGCTGCATACTTATTGGGTACCGTGCTGTCTTGGGCCCACTTTGGTGCTCAGGTCTGGCAGAGAGCAGAGTGTCCTCAGGACCTCAAGGTAACCCTGACTCATAGTGACCTAGGCAGAAGGGTGACTCTGCTGGGCTCTTCTCCCCTTTGTCCACACTCTAAGCTTCCCTGCTTCCCTCCATTATTCTCGGGATCTCATGCCTTTCAACCTATGCCTGTGTCAAGCTTGGTTGCTCTGGGGTTGAGGCCTGGGGCAGGGATCTGGGCCCTGTCCCCAGCAGCTTTCAGCCTGGGAGGGCACAATGAAGGAAGGCGGTAGCTACGGCATCCCTCCCCCGGTTTCTGGGTTTTCCTTTGGGCAGGAAGAATAGATAGAGGCAAGTGCTGAGTGAGGAAATAGCCTCAGGGTCCAAAGGAGAGTTCCAGAACCCCAGAACTAGCTTCCCTGGCTACTGGCTGGGTCTATGAGGCTCCTCAGTCCAGACCAAAAATCAGTGGTGTATCGGTTTTCTAGCCAGACAACCCGGCTTTGAAGCTTCACCACTTCATTCATTCAATCACTACTTTGTTCATTCAGCAAACATTTCCAGGCCTGTGGACAAACTAAAGTTAAGCCCATGCCTTCTGGGAGCTGTGTTTCCAGAAGCAGAGACACAATACACAAGCAAGGTGCTACTACCTAGTGCTAAGTGCTCTGGGAGAAGTGTCACTTGTCTGAAACTCAGTGTCCCCACCTGTCAAGTGGAGTTGGTAACGCCAATCTCTCCAGGAAGGTGAAAATTAGGAATTTTCTTTAAAGCCAAGCATCATGGATCCCACCTGTAATACCAGTGCTTGGGACGCTGAGGCAAGGGGAGCTTGAGGCCAACTTGGGCTACATAGCCAGACCTTGTCTCAAAGTCCACCCCTCAAAACATCAAAACCTAAGAGGCTCCTTTGCCAAGGCCGTGGATATTGCTCAGCACTTAGAGCTTGGCATATATTAAATTCTCAGGAACAACACACTGAATTAAAAACCAAATGAACGAATATGGAAGAAGCCAACTCAGTAGTTCTCACATGGGTACTAGGGCATGTGCTAGACACATTTTCAGAGCCTTTGTCTAGTTTATTTTTAAATTTAACTTTTATTTTTTAAAATGTGTTTGAGTGTTTGTCGGAATGTACGAACATATATTCATATATATACACACACAAACATGAGTATGTATGCATGTATATCACATCCATGCAGTGCCTGTGGAGGCCAGAAGAGGGCGCCAGATCCTCAGAGCTGCAGTTGCAGACAGTTATCAGCTGCCATGCAGGGCTAAGAACCAAATCCAGATCCCCTAGAAGAGCAGCCAATAGTCTTAAGCACTGAGCAATCTTCAGCCCCCCTTTTGTCTAGCTTTTGGTAGTGTGCTGCGGACACAGAAACTGAGAAAGTGGGTGGCTGATTGCAGGCCTCACTGGAGCCCATGGGGGTCCAGGAAGAGCTTTTGCCACCTTCTTTGGGTTCTGCTTAGGCCATTGGGGCATAAGATGGGGAAGTGGCCTAGCCTGCAAGCCCAAAACCAGAGGCATACTGTGGCTCCTGGGCCGTCCCCAGGGCCCTGTGTGGGGTGGGAATGGATCCTGGAAGAAGGCAGAAGGCGGGTCTGATTGAATGTCTGTCTGTCCAGATCTACAAGTACTACTCCTTGCTGGCCTCCCTGCCTCTGCTTCTGGGGCTTGGATTCCTGAGCATTTGGTACCCAGTGAAGCTGGTACAGGCTATCCAGCACCAGACAGGAGAGGGCTCCCAGGTAAGGGCGTGGGCCAAGGCTGCTCCAACGCTTGCCTTCTCATGTCTACTAAAATTACACCTCTCTCTCTCTCTCTCTCTCTCTCTCTCTCTCTCTCTGTGTGTGTGTGTGTGTGTGTGTGTGTGTGTGTGTGTGTGTGTGATACTCTGGATCCCCAAGGGTACTGGGCTGTGCACAGAGTGGGGGCTCAGCAAAGCAGAACTGAATTCATGGATTCACTTCTTTGAAACCCCTGAGGGTTGGAGCAATGAGCTATTCAAGAGTCCTGTGACTGCAGAGTTCTGCAGATGTTGGGCTGGTCCAGGAAGCTCACTCTGAACTGAACTGAACTGTTGAATGATGTCAGATGCAAGGCTCTGTGTGTGTGTGGGGGGGGTGGGGGGTGAATAGTGGAAGAGGCTTCCTGGAGGAGGCAGAGTTCAGGGAGAGTCTGAAGGACAGGGAGGAGCTAGAGTAGCAGAAGAGTGGACAAAGGAAAGAGCTGGATGGAAGCAGTAGGGCTGTGCTATTCATGCCCACACGCTTGTGCCTGGGGCAGAATGGAGCCCATAGGAAATGCTCTACAAGGCTGAGGTCTGTTGGAAGAGGGCTTGCTTATCATGCTTAAGACCTTGGGTTTGACCCTGAGCACCAAGTAAGCTGGGCACAGCGGCTCCCAGAACTTGGGAGGTAGAGGCAGGAGAACGAGAAGTTCAAGGCCAGCCCAGGATACAAAAGATAATGACTTTAAAAAAGAAAGTATTGTTGAGTTGTTTGGAGGGATGGGCGCTATAAATGGATGCCTCATGACGAGAGAGCATTTTTGAAAATACTAAGAACTTATCAAGAAGGCTTCTTAAGCCTCTCCCACATGTCAGGCACTGGCTGGGTGCTGGGACTTCAGAATCCACTGGCTTGGGCCTCCTACGTGTGGAATACCCTGCCCAGCAGGGAGAGGGGCACAACAGCAAACCCAGTGATTTTGTAGCCATAGGAATGTAGATGAAGAGCTCACAAGATGTCCTAGGGAGTGAGGATTTCAATGTGAGACCCCTAGTGGGGTGAGTAAGGCCCAGGCTGGAGGGAAAAAGCAAGGGCAGAGAGATGAGTGAGACACCCCTGCAACCCAGTCTGGGCACAAGCATGGACTTGAACAAAACAGCTCCCCTGCCTGCCTGCCGACCTAGGGCAGGAAGCTGAGGAGCAGGACCACCCAAGATGCTACTCCTTTGGATGCATCCTGCTGGGGTCACAGATCAGCAGAGGTTTTGGTAGGCACTGAGCTAGAGCTAAGGAGAAGTGAAGAGTGTGAAGAGGGGAGCCTGTGGCCTCAGGAGGCCTACCTGGTCCAGGAGGCCTCTGCCTCTTGGTTAGGCTCCAGATCTGCTATCCACACGCAGCAGGCTCCCAAG